CTAAGGTAGAGCAGTCAGTGACTTTTGAAGAACACTCAAAACATTTTTTTTCAAATGGTAGTTCTGAAATCAAAATTTACTAATTACAACTTAGTTGTTCAGTAAACTCCCATTGTCTGCACACAACTAGATATATTTTGAATCGCTTTATCGAACTGTATGATTTTCATTAAATATATTCTCTAGAGTGGCAAGAGACTTCGACAATTTTGCACAGTTATTAGCTATCAAATCTCGAATATTAGTCAGATTGCTAACTAAGTGACAATAACTTATTTATTTGAGTATTCTTCACTGATAGATTAACGACTGTATCGACTGGTCATGGCTCCGTTGTTATATTTACTTGATTTTCGAACGGTGCAAATATCATTGAAAACCTAGCAATGTATGCTTGTCTACAATCCTGACCTTAAAATGAAATTTTCTACTAAATTTGAAAACTATTTCACAATGTGCTATTTATAGACCCATATTTGTTAATTCTCATTAATCTGAAATTCTTTTCACCACAAACAGGTGTCGCCTCTGTGAGGTATTATCGTGAAAAAGTTTCTTTTTGTGCCTTTTGAGACTTTCTAGATTTTCTCTCTTAGGTTAAAAGTAAAAGAATGAAAAAGAGTGGTATTCCATAGGTCAAGTCATGCTCTATTCAATCATACAAAAGTTAGAAATTTTTGATACAATAGGAAGATATGACGAGTCTAGTAAAAATGATCAACATTAACGCAATCAAGCTATACATAAAAATAACAGAAGAGCTAAATTACACACTTCAATATATCCAAAAGTCTAGTTATCTTATTATGTTAAATACATAAAAGGACGAATAAAATAACTGCTAATCGTATCAATATTTTCTTTTGAATGATTCAAGAGTTTGTTGATAACATTTTTATGATTTCAAATATTCTTATTATCTGTTTCAGATAAATTTTCAAGTAACAGTCGTGCTAATCCTATTTTTTCTGAACATATTAACAAACTGTTTAACAATAATTGAACGAGGCAAATTTACAATCGTTACTTAAAGTCTTTACCGGTAACGTACTTATATATGAAACCTTCTATTTCTATGTACATTAACATAATTGTTTTAGGTACCCACATAAAATTTATTGTACGAAATGAATTTCGGCGTAGACAAAGATAGTTCATTAATTGATACATCAGTTTTACCAAATGATAAATTTACACGTGTGGATGATGATTTTTTTCTATTGTTAAAGCATTAGCCGGTGATTCAGTATTCAATATTTTACGGATACACCTAATTAATTCGGCAAGAAAACTGTTATCTACACCTGGTGTATTCGCATTTTTTCAAATTGAATCTGAAGAAACAGATAAAATAAAAGCTGAATCTTGTTTTAAATCTAAAACTGAACAATATTTTGTTAAACCCGATATTCAAACCAGTTTATCCTATTTAATCAAATTATTAAACCAGAAGCTAAAAGAAGAATTAACACTAAATGAAAATAATGCAACTCGAGATACATTTATATCTAACGAGTTTATTGACAAGTATCCGCGTTTAAAATCTTTAATTAGATGGTATCAACAAAATGACTCGGAAAACAACAACAAAGCAAATAGGTGTTTAACGATGTTCATCGATAATGTGGTATTCAATCTTACACAATCTTCAAATAATTTTAGATACACTGAATCAATTAAAAAATTTGCCATATGCTTATATATTTTCGGTGGTAAACAATGCTATGAGTTCGTTCGTTTAAATATGCCTGGTAATATACCGCATTTGTCAACACTTGATGGTTTAATTAATAAATCGAATATGACTTTAACTGAAGCAGAATTTAAATTTGACTCACTTCAAAAGTTTCAATCAGGTTTTGGATTTTGTTCTGAAGATACTACTGGTGTCATTCCTAAAGTTGAATACGATTCGTCGACAAACTCATTCATTGGATTTACAACACCAATTGTTGATGGTATTCCATTGATGAAACATTATCAAGCTGATACATTTGATGATTTTAAAATCATTTATA